AGGGTTCTTTGGAAAAGATAGTAATGCTGGGAAAATAGAAGGCAGCAGGAAAAAAGGAAGACCAAGTATGAGATGGATGGACTGCATGAAAGACGCTATAGGCATGTGGCTACAGGAGCTGAGTAGGGCTGCTGAGGACAGGACATTGTGGACATCACCCATTCACAGGGTTGTCAGGAGTTGGAGCCTACTCAAAGGCATGGAATGCACAAAATCTGTGCCTATATCTAGATACTAATATTTAGATGTCTATGTCTGTATTTAATATACTCGATTCTTGAGCAACATGGGTGTCAGCTGTGTGGTCCCACCATATAAGTGTTGTTCAATGGTCAGCTTGTATAGTGAAATAGTCACGCGGGAACAAGGACTCTAGAGCTGAGCTACCTGGGTTTAGGCTTCCCACTTACTAGTGGTATAACCTTGGGTAAGTTCACTTACCTGTTTTATACCTGTTTCCTATTCTGTAAAATGGGATTAATAATCATACATCTCATTGGGTTGTTATGAGGATTAAATGGGATAACATACCTTTTTGACATTATCGTCATAGTCGTCATCCCAACATTTTTGTAGAATATCTTAAAAAGTGCTTAAAACCTTTGTACATTAACATCGTATATCTCAGGGAGGTGGGGGTTGGTGTGGAAGAGAGGGAAGATGATTTATACAACAGTGAAAAAAATAAAAAAATTTCTGCCCATCTACTGTAGGGGTAACAGTCAATAAACAAGATAGGTGGGGGAGAGTGTACACACACCTATACATACATGTACATACACTAAAAATGGTAAGTGCTAAGGAGAAAAAAAAAGCATGGAAGGGGATAAACAGCTTTTAATTTTAAATACTCCAAATTTCAAATATAATGGGCAAAGGAGTATATGCAAAAGTAAAATTTATGTAAAGACCCAAAGGACATGAGAGAGCCATGTGGATATCTTTCTATAAGAGCATTTAGTGAAACAGCAAATGAAAAGACAGTGTAGCAGAAGCATAACTCGCATTTTCAGAGATCACCAAAAGAGGTTGGTTAGTTAGTGGGGCAGAAGTAGGTTGCTGGAGGGGGACAAGAGGGACTGCTAGGTTGAATATAGGCAGAAGAGTATTATCTTAGTACAATAATTTAAATAATCCAATAAAGAAAATAGAGCCCACATGGATTCTAATATTACTTTCCTTTTCAAGAATGTGCTCTGGTTCTTGTTATCTCCTCTCTTGCTTTATTGCTTATATTTTAAAGCTCTTTGTAATCTTGCCACATCTTTTCTGTTTAGTCCCATTTCTTCCAGTTTTTTCAGATCTAGAAATAATTCTTCCTGTCCTAATTTTTCTAAACCTAGGACAAGTTTTAGCATAGTTCCATTACCTATAATTTGTTCTAGTAAAAATAGCTGGGAGATTTTACATAATGGACATTGAACACATAAAAATTTTTGTTCTGTAAATAAATGAAATGTTTTAGAAGTCTTCATTTTAATACTGTTGGGGCCCTTAAACATGCAAATAATTGATTTTTTTTTCACTTTATTGGTCAAGTGTCCTAGTTGCAGGAGACAGAATCTGTTTTATGTAGTGACTTATTAAAGGGTAATGACTAGCTAACAGAATATTTGGGAATATAGCTAACAGAATTAGATATTTTTGTTACATAGCTTGGAACCAGGCAGCCAGGAAAAATACTCAAGCATACCACATAGCTGGTCAAGCACCAACTCCATTCATTGCCTTCGTTGCCCACAAGGTACCTATGAATGACCAGTTACTAGAATGTCTTTATTAGAGCTACCACAGAAGAAACAGGCCCCTTAACCACTGTGCTTGCAAGACCAGTGCCTCAGATCATCTACTGCCTTCCAAATGTTGCATACTTATGTATGCTTGCAATGACTGGGCCATTGTCTAGGACCTTAGCTGGAGTGGAGTCTGGAAACCGTTGTGTATGGTGTTCTGTCCTCTGCACTGTATGAAGGTATGCCTGAAAGATTGGAATGAGTGTTGAATACCTACCACATTTATAATAAAAGAAATGAAATAAAAATGACAATGGGATATCCTTTTTCATATTACATTGGCAATATACATTTGAGTAACTTTTGTGTTAAAAAATACAGGGAAATAACCACTCAAATCTTGGTAGGAATATAAATTAGTTAAACATGTGGAGGCCAAATTGGCATTAACTATCCAGACTGCAAATGAGTATACCCATTGATTTAAGAATTTGGGATTTTATCTTACATAGTCACATAACTTGGAAACAAATGTCTATTAATAGAGGACTGACTAAATACATTACAGTATATTCACAAAAGGGGAAGTTCTGCAGCCACTAAAGAGAAAGAGATGGCCCACCTTTGTGGACTGGTTGGGAAAGATCTCCAGGGTACATTAAGTGAAAGAAACAATATCATAATACAGTGTACATGTATGATATTCTGTGTGTGAGGGAGAGACACAAAGTCTGTGTGTGTGTGTGTGTGTGTGTGTGTGTGTGTAAACCGTAAGAGAACTTGTTTCTAGGAGACCTAGAAAATGAGAATTTGATGTGACACAGCTGGGACTTGTGCATACCATGAACCGATTTAGCATAAAATATTTACTGGATACTTAGGAAACTAATAGTTGCATTGTAGAAGAAACTAGTTGAGGGACAGGACTGGAAAAGAATTGATACTCTTTGGATTTTGTATGTTTTGCCTGCATTGCATACTAAAAACTAATTTCTTTTAAATGAGCTGTTCCTGTTGTCTACTAAAATATGGTTCGAAAATAGGCCATGTAAGGCTAGGATGTATTTTTCATTCAAGAGTTTATATACAAGGGGGGATCCCCAGAAAAACAGAATTATCTTCCGGAGAGTGGACCCCTTGTAGTACAGAGTCCCCTGCTAGGAAAGTATTCTAAGAACCCATTTGTGTCAGTGTACCAGCTGATGTTGTTGTGAGAGGCTGCATTTGGCTTCAGTGAATTTTTTTGAAGACTGTTTCATCGTGTTTGCCCATTTCATGATGGGTGATTTACAAGCTAGTGCACTTGCCCACACCGTGCTGAGCAGTTTTTGACAAAAATATGACATGCCCCACATGCCCCACCCTTCCTGTTCATCCTGGTGACTTTCTTTTTTGTTTCCCATCCCGGCAACTTTCTTTTTTGTTTCCCTGGGTGAAAAGAAGTCCTCAAAGGGAAACATTTTGCCAATGTGGAGGAGTTGAAACAAAAAACAGAAGCTCTAAAAGGCATCAAAATGCCTTTAAGACAATTCAAAAACAGTTTTGAGCAGTGGAAGAAACTTCTTGATAGGTGTATTGCATCCAATGGAGAGTACTTTCAAGTTGACGGAAGTTTAAACATGTAAGAATAGATGCACAATTTTTTGTAAATAAATTTTGTCGGGTTTTTTGATCCTCCGTCATATTCATGAATAAATTAAGATAAACATACTATATAAGGACATTTTTCTTAATGATATTAGGATGTTGCTTTTTTTGCGGAGCTGTGTGCTGTAACTATTATTAATGACACAGGTGGTTAGAAATTAGAAAATATGTCATTGGTTAGTTCTAGAAGTGAAATGGGAATGCTTTCTATTTTAAAAAGAGTTTATGTTTTTTAGACATTTTACCATTTTGAACATTAGTTTTATAAATAAAAAAAGATGTGATACAAAAGTATGATTAACAGATACATGACATTAATATTTGTTCTTATATAAAAACTTAGTCCCTTTGTCCTCATGGTAAACAAAAGCAGTACTGTTTTTAATGTAGTGTAACATGTCTTTACTAACATATAAACGTTAATGCAGAGAGAACTGAATTTACATTTGCTTTTGTGAATTAATGGGATGAATATGAGAAAATTATTAAAACTTTTACCTTAAATTGTTATGTTTTCCATTGGGATTTTTGTGTTAAAGTGGGTATTCAAGGAAATGGTAAATTGTTGATGTAGGAGACTATCTAATTAAAAGTTCTGATAATAAGTTTTGCCTTACTTAAGGAGATTTGCAAAACATCTTAACATTTCTTTGACTACTTGCACATATTTCTCTCATGGTTTTCTACTTGCAATAATGTTGGTATGCTTTATTTAATATAATCTTAGTTTAGAACTTTGATCTGGTCCAGATCCTCAACTGCTTCCTTATTTGAATAATCTAATAATATTTTATGAAAAACAGTGAAAAGAGGGAACCTTAGATAACCGATCAATTTGAAATCAGTTTGAGAGGAGGTAGGCTTGAGGCACAGGGGAAAATGTGCCACTTTTCCTAATAGGTATTAAGATCCAATCTCAGTTTGGAACCTGTAAGTCAGTAGTCTCCAAAGTAGCATACACAAATTTATATATTTTGATATGCTAAGAATATTAGAAATTTTACAATGTGTATCTTGGTAATAGTACATGATTTTAAGTTTGGAAACACTAATATTTAGGTAATTGATTGTTTCAGGTACAAAAAAAAAATGTAGCAATTGGAACCAAGGGGTGAAACATTTATAATTCTGAAATTAAACTTTGAATGTGAACTCAAATGTTTTATTTCCCTTTAATAAATTGGATAAACCTTGATGGAAAATGTTGCAGCATAAACATGCTTATAGTACTTCAAGGGCATTTATCCAAATTGGGTTGTATCTCTTTTGTTTTAATATTTGTACTAAGCTTGTATACCATGGATGAACATTTCATAACCTGTTTTCAGTCCTTTGCCATCTGAAAATACAGATACTCTCAGCACCAAAACTATGTCTTTCATTATCAATTAATTGTAATTTCAGCCTATTACTCATTGAGTAGCTTTCCTCAGTATCCTATTTACATTTTCCATTTGTTGTATGCCACATGGTTCAAAGAGATGCCACTTTTCACCCTGTTACTTCTTCTGTGTATTCTGTACATTGCAGTAGGCATTGTATGAGAGACCAGCAAATGGTGATGACTATCATTTATGAATTGATGACTGTAATTTATGAATATTCATATTTTTATCTCAGATATTCAAGATTAAAGCAGTCCAATTGGCTGAGAAACTCCTTCCTGCCTTTAACACACCTACTGGGATTCCCTGGGCAATGGTGAATCTGAAAAGGTAAATTCTATTTTTATGTGGTATTCCTGTTTTAGAATTCTATGTTAACATATATATTAGGATTTAATTTAATTTATTCATTAGCTATTTTTTAGTGGTTGCTATAGGAATCAAACTATACATAATTAATTTTTCAGTTAACAGAGTTAATATTTTAACACTTCATGTAACAGACAGAAACATTTCAACCATACCTGTTCATTTACACTATCTCTCCCATCATTGTAATGTTAAGTTGTCAGGTGAATTACACCTAATACACTATTAACCTCAGAATACACTGTTAAAATAAACAGACTTATTTATTTTATAGAATTGAGGGGAATAATGGTCTAATATTTATCCACATGTGTACTGAATAATAGTCTAATGTTTATGAGGCAGTATATCCAGTGTTCTTCATTTCTCTTTGAAGATCTGAGTTTTAATGTGGTATTACTTCCCTTCCGCCTGAAGAATTTCAGTTAGCATTTCTTGTAATGCTAATCGGTAGGGGTAATTCCTATTGTGGGTGTTTTGTTTGTTTGTTTGAGAAAGTCTTTACTTTGTAGCATTCATTCTTAAAGGATATTTTCAGTGTGTGTAAAATTTTTGATTAATGGATTTTTTTCTTACTATAAAGATGTTGTTTCTCACCTGGTTTTCATTGTTTCTGATAAGTTAGAACTTGAATGATTATTATCCTATTTTATTCTTTCTGTATCCTGCTTATTATCCTTTGCTCATGAGCTTGTTCAGCCTGATATGTCTTTCACTAAATAAAACGGTAAAATTTTGGTTATTATTTCTTCAAATATCTTTTCTGCCTGCCCCCTTTTTTTCTACTTCTTTTTGAAATTCCAGTTCCTCGTATTTTAGGTTTTTTATTACTGTTCCACAGGACCCCGAAGGTCTTGTTTTTTTTTCCTTTTTTCCCTATGTTTATTAATTGAAGGATTTTCATAGGTAATGTTCATCAACTCTTTCCTTTGCTGCTGTAATCTGCTCTTAAGCCTACTTGTGAAATTTTTTTTTTTTTTTAGATTTTTGATTTGCTGCTCTTTCATTCTGATTCTCTGCTGAAATTTTTCTGTATTTCCTTTCACTATGGACATATATCCCTGTATTTCATCAAGCATAGTTAGAATAGCTGATCTAGAATCTTTGCATTCCTCCTAACGTCTAGGTCATCTTGGAGTTAGTTTCAATTGATTATCTTTCACTGAGTCTGGGTAACATTTTGAATATATCCTAAGACATTCTGAAAGTTTTGTTGTGGAGACTCTGGAATTTCTTTTATTTTTCTAAGGGGTAAGTGCATGCATATGTATCGTCTGTGTGTTATTAAGTAGTTATTTAATTTAATTGGATTCAAACTTTAAACTCCCTAGGATTTCTCCTCTCTCTTTTTTCAACAGAACACTGGTTTCCGATTCTTAAAGACAGAAAGGCTACAAGCTTTCTATCAGATGTTAGCTCTTTTGCCTAGTATGGACTTTGTGTTTGGGCTAAAAGCTATTAAAAAATGGAAAACTTACCCCATGGTTGCCTATTTTTCAAAGTTCTCATTATTCTCAGGATTGCCTGCTTTTGTTCATTCCTCAGTGACCTTAGGTCATTGCCATTTTGTATTTTGTCCAGTTTATAGGGGTTTTTTTCCCCATGGAGAAATAGTTCAGTCACTAGAAGATATGAGCATCATAATGCAAACAAAAATTAGAGAAGTTTTGTTAGATTTGTTTCTTAGAGTCTTGATTTTTAAAAATGCTCTGATAAATGGTATTTGAAGTTTTTAATTTTCTACTTCTGGAACTTAGAATACAGTTTTTGTAAACTTTGAATTCAGTCTTGCTGAATTTGTATTTTCTTGATAAAATCAATAATTTATCTGGAACCCCTCCCAATCCCCCCCCTCCCAGTTACTGTATTGGCTACAATATGGAATAGGAATGGCGATCACAGACATTGTTATCTTAGTAGATAGTGAGATTTTTACCATTAAGTATGATGTTAGCTGTAGATTGTTCTGTAGATAATTGTTATTAGTTTAAGGCAGTTCTATTTATTCTACTGGTATAAAAGGTTTTTAAAATTATGTATTATTGCAACTTTTTCAAGCAATTTTTCTGTAGTTTCTAAGTCTTTTTATTGCAGTCATTTACATTGATTTGTTTTCCAATGAGAAACCATAACTGTATTCAAGGAATAAATCCAATTTGATCATGATGTAGTATTCTTTTTATATATTGCTGGGTTTTTACTAATATTTTGTTTAGGATCTTTGCATTTTTGTGTGTGTGGTATTGTTCTGTACTTCTTCTCTTGATATTCTTGCCTAGTTTTGAAATCAAAGTTGTGCTTCTCTTGTAAAACATGTTGGGTAGTGTTCTTTCTTCTCTGAAAGAGTTTGTATAAAAATTATTTTTTTATCCTTATGCTTGATAGAACCTTCTGGTAAAGCCATTTGGGTCTGGAATTTTGAGAAAGTTTTAATACTGCTGATTTTATGTCTTTTGTCATAAGGTATTAAATACCTTAGATAATTTGTATTGTATTTATTTTATTTTGAAGATTCTATTTATTTATTTTTAGAGAGGGAAAGTGAGGGAGAGAAACATCTGTGTGTGGTTGCATTTCGCGCACCCCCTTCTGGGGACCTGATGTGCAACCCAGGCATGTGCCCTACACTGGGAATTGAAACTGCGAACCTTTGGTTTGCAGGCCAGTGCTCAGTGTATTCTATTTATTTTAAAAAAATTTTAATAAGTTATACTTTTCTAGGACTTTGGTAATCTAGCATAATATAGTAATTATGTCCTTGTATTTGTTTACTGTCCGTATTGTATGTTACATGTTTTCATTTTTATCCTAATATACACTTGGTAAAGAATGGCATTTAATTTTTTTCTGCACACTCCTAAGCAAGATACTGTAGATATTTTTGGGTGAATAATACACAGTTCTCACTTTCAAAGGGCTAACCAGGACTATGTGATACTCAGTGGAGTGACACATGGCAGGTACCAAACTAATATGTTGTAGAGGGCATCAGTTTGCAATCAGCATAATATGAGATCATCAGAGAGAAGGAAGTTACCTTTTATTTAAGAAGATTAGGGAGTTTTCATGGAGCATTTTAACTTGCTTTTGTAAAGGAGTAAGATATTAATAGGTGATAGATGGTATAGGGCATCTTGAGTGGAAGAAATAATTCAACCGAAAAGAGATGTGGAAATGAGAAGGTATTGGGGAGAAACAGGTTTTTAGAGAAATGGATGGTGGTGAAATATGGGGGACCAGTATATTTGAACCTCCAAATGCCTCAGCCAATCCTTTAGATAAGGAGATTTGTGAAAGGGCAAAAGTGCCATTTTTGTGAAGAGCCTTACCCTTTATGCTCACCTTGGAGTTACTGAGATAAATTTTAGTATCAGGAGATTAAAAAAAGATCTGAAGAGTATTTGAATTTTTTTTCTCTGAAAAAGTAACAAAGCATATATAGGGCATAAATAAAGAAGGTCCTGATCACCATTGATACCCCCTAATTTGGCGAGTTAATTCATGGAACAAACTGGGAACACTTTTCTTGAAGTCCTTTGCCCCCCTGAAGACAACAACATTCAGCAATGATGTTTAACCCCTTCACTAGATTCAGTCCTCTTGCTGTGTACATACATCCAACAGAGCCATGCCTGTTTTGTTCACCAGTGTATACTTAACACTTAACATGGTGGCTGCATGCAAGTAACTTATCCCAGATAAAAGTCTGGTAAGTGATGGTATGCTTCTGACATAGTCGGCAAAGGCACAAGAAATGAAGCTTAGCTGAATATGCAGAATAGAAGCTGAGCAGAAACCATGCATGAAAGGCTTTATTAGAGACAGCAGAAGAAACTACACCGAGATGGCATTACCCTGCCAACATCTTTGGCATCCTCCACATAACCCTTTAACTGCTGTATTGCTGAATTTCTCCAGCTTAACTGCTGAAGGAAATTCTTTTATCCAGGGTTCACTGAAGGGTTCTAAGAGGAAATTGTCTACTGTGATTTTGGATAAGTATTTAGTTTGGATTGATCTCTTCGGTTTCAAGAAGGAGTAAGTGGGTAAAATTAAGACCATAAAAGGATTTTTACACCTTAAAATTTGGAGAACTCAGTCAAAGAGGCCGAAGAAGCAGGCATTTCATGAAGTTTACTTTAGGAAAATTTAAATTTTAAATATATGCTTGCCTCTCTTGAATTTTTCCATCATGTTGAACTTAAAGATATTACAAGTCAAATAAAATTTAAGGGGAATAACGAACTAGGAAGAATGTTAATAACAGTAATGCTATTGATAGCATATGAGTATTTTCTTAATATATAAATCACCTTTACAGGCTGCTATGAAAAATACCCATCTATTATTTATAAAGCTGCCAAATACATGAATGGGTAATTCAAAAAAGAAATACTGTTAAAAATAAACACTAAAAACTTTAGCCAGTTTAGTAATCAATTTTTTTTTACCTAAAAAATTGACAAAAAGAGAATGATGTTATTTAGGATTGACAGAGTGAAGAAATGAAAACCACATATAATTGTTCGGATTGGAAATTTGAGTAACTTGGAAGATAGATTGGCAGTAGGTTCCAGAAGCCTTGAAATATGCCTGCCCTTTGCCCTTGTAATTTTACTTCTAGGAATTATCTTAGTGAAGTGACAGTATCCACAAAGATTTAATTATAAGAGATTTATGGCAGTGATATTTATATTAATGAAAATAGAATCATTACATAAAAAGGAGTGGCATGTCCATACAGTGAAGTGTGACAGCCATTTGAAATGATGTTCTAGAAGTGGAGTTTTGGAAAAGGATAATACTTGTGAAGTATTAAGTGAAAAAACAACATGCAAGAATATGACCCTATTTTTAATTAAATAAAATATATTCTATCATGTTGGCTGCTTGCTTCTAAGTAGGAATCAGAATTCACTTTCTTAGTGTATCTTCCTTCTCCTTAGACGACTCCTTTCTCCTTTCTCTCCTTTCCCTTTCTTCTCTCTCTCCTTTTCTCCCTTACTTTCTTTTCTCTTTATGTAGCTAGATACATTAATTGGAAAGAGAAATACATGTATTGGATGAATGTACATGTATTGAAATGGCATATACTCACTGTAAAGTAAGGTTTTGACTCCAAACCCCTAGTCTTTCAGGAATACCACTGTTAAAACTTTCTTGACTGTCCTCTCTATATGTGCAAATGTGCCCTTGTGTATATGTATTATTTTCTTGTCATTTTCATTTAACGGTAGTTCTTTATTAAACAAAAGATTTAATGAAATGTTGGAGTCATCATGTTATAATCAAGAACAAGATAGTATTTAACATTACTCTGGAGGTTTTAACAAGAGAAACCAAATAGGAAAAAGGAATAAAGATAATGAACTGGAAACAAAATTTTAAATAATTATGGATCATATGACTGCTTGCTTGGGGAAAAAAAGATGATCAACTAAAAAACTGTGAGAATAATAAAGGAGTTGACCAAATTGAATGGTTAAATATTAAAACATCTTTTTGAACACTGTGGATATTGGATCGAAACTACAGAAAGCTAATGTCTTAGTAAAGTAAAGGCATCTATAGACCTGTCTTAGCAAAGCCTAAAACAATCCTTGAAAGAACCTAGCTACCAACAAGTTATTTAACTGTCAAAAGGAAATTAAAAATGCTTTAAAGGAAGAAAAAATTCAGATATTCAATAACATTTTCATACTGTCGAGTCCAATAAAAAATTGCTACCTATGCAAAGAGCAGGAGAATGTAACCCATAATTAAGAGAAAAAAACTGGACTGTCAGTAGAAACATGTAGAGAAATAACCAAGATGATGGAGGTAGCAAGAAGGGACTTTAAAATAGGTGTCCTAAGTATGCTCAAGAATTTAAAGGAAATGTGAACATAATGAGACAAGGATCAAATGGAATATGTAGTGCTGAGAAATATATGAAATGAATTCACATGACAAGCTTACCAGCAGATTTGATAATCCATCAGAAAAGATCAGTATGCTGGAAGACATAGCAGTAGAAATCACCCCAACCAAAGCACAGAGAGAAAAATAAAAGGAATGTAACCAGTGTGACCTGTGGGACAATATCAGATGGCTAACATACATATACTGGAGTGGTCTGGGGGACGGGCAGGAGGAGTGGCAGAAAAACTATTTAAAGAAGTCATGGCCAAAAATTTCCCAAATTTGATGAACAACTATAAATCCATGGATCCCAGACAGTGGCTGTAACCCAAACAAGATAAACAAAGAAACATAATGAATGGCTGAAAGTCATTGAAAAAAGAAAAAAGTCATAAAAACCGCCGTAATAATAATAATAATAATAATAATCATTATCATAAAATAATAAAAGATATTTTGCACAGGATGCCAGGTTAACAATCCTGCTTGCTTTGTGTCCACAGCAATGCGAGCCAGGAGACAATGGAATGCATTTTGAAAGTGCTGAAAGAAAAAAAAAAAATCAATCTCGAATTCTATAATCACCGAAACTGTTTTTCAAAACTGAAAGTGAAACTGACATTTTTAGACAAAGAACTTAGAGTATTGTGAGCACACCTCTATTATCAGAAATGTTAAACTTTTTAATAACACTGGGTGGAAAAGCAGATCTACATAGAGAAATGAAGAGCAACTGAAAGAGTAAATATGAGTGAACATAAAAGGTGAAGTTGAAAATCAGGGCATTTGTACTAAATTATGATCTGATTGGTTTTTGTCAGCTCATCACCTTTTTATAGCTGGAGCTTTTCCGTCCTCATCAGATTTATATTTGTTCTTAGGGATTTTCTTATTTTTCTGAGATGTTAGAATGTATATAAGTATAAAATTTAACATTTTATATTGTTCCTGCGAAGCTGTGTATAAGATACATGAAAAACTTTGTTTAAAATTTAGTTTTCTGAGAAGTGTTTAAATGCACTATGAATGAAACTTTCATTTGGGCCTTTCGTTGGGAGAGTGTTTACAGGGAAGAGTAAGCAATTGGACTTCCTGGGAACTTTGTACTTATAATTCACACGATCATCCATTTGCCATGCTGATGCCTAGGTAATCTTTCTACTGGTATGCTTTGTTCCTTAAATCTTATGTTAGTTTCTTAAAATCCTTCATGACTTTTTATCACACTTAGAATAAAAATTTTACTGTGACTTTCCAGAATTCTTACATAATTTAGATTACGCTCTCAAACATTCATTTCCCCTTCCTAAGTTCTAGCCACACTAGCCACCTTCTTTTTCCTCATCTAGGCATCTCTTCTTCCAGATCTAGGCATCACTTGCTCCTTCTCACATCATTCAGGTCTCAGTTCAAACTGTGTCTTTTTAGAAACACTTTCTGTGAACATTATACATAAAGAGCCTATCTGCTAGCTCACCTTCACTAGTACCCAATATTCTATTTCTCTATTTAATTTTCTTTATAGCAATTATCACTATTTAAATGGTCTTATTTATTATGGGAGCAGGAATGCTATATGTCAGTTTCACTGCTGTATCTCCCAGAGCATAGTAGGCACTTACTATTTGGAAATGAATGATGTAATTACTTACTAATACATATCCATATTTCATCCTTGATTTTCACTTCTAGCTTCAAAAAAAAATAATCTGTTAGTGACATCATATTTTCAAAGACAGTGTGAAAACTGTACCAAATGATTAAAAACCTTTAAGTGAGGTAGTGATTATATCTTGATATCTATTTTAATGTTTTCTCAACACATAAATAAAATATGGCATAATGAATTGGCAGCATACAGCTGGATATAAAGTGAGAGAAAAATTATATTTTTACTTTGTCATCAAAGTAGAAAAGATCCTGGAGAATGGTTTAGAGTTCTAGTAGGAATAACTCTGCTACTTGAATAATTAATTAATCTAGACTTCCAGTTCCAATCATGGAATAGGTTATATCAGACTAACCCTACCACCAAAAGCAATCATGAAAGCTTGGCAAAATGGTTTGGCGGCACTGGAGAGCAACTGAATTTCCTAAGAGGAGGTCATCTCCTTATAAACATTGGCTTTTGTTTTTTTTTAACCCCAAGGGCATTTTCCAAGTCATTCTACAGGGTGGTAGAGGCCAAGCCTCACATGGTGGTCATTTGGGGCGAAGAGGCTGTGTTCAGGTCCTGGAGCTGACTAAATGACTGAGACATGAGACACAAAATCTCAAGACAGAGAGGAATTCTAGAGGCACAATTTTTGCACAGATTTTCCTCAAGTTGTTGGCTGATTCTATGATTGCACATGCAAGCGGAAAGACTCAAGGAAACCCAGCAGAAAACAGCATTTGGGGGCTAAAGGGCAAAAGAGAAAATTTAAGTCACACGGTACTGGGGAGATAGAGGTTAGTGCTTAAAGCTGCCAAGGTGGAAGTCCTTTGATAAACACCCCAGGCTTTCCAGTGGGCCTCGGAGGGCCACTCTCTAGAAGTAAAGGTAAAACTGAAATAGGCTACCCTTAAAAAAGCCTGAAACCAAAGTAATCTGCCTGTATTCAACCTGTGTTTCAGAAAAACTTAACCTTCCCAGAAAGAAGATAATGTCCAGAGCCTTGACACTTTTTCATTTATATTGTCTAATTTTCAATAAAAAATTATAAAGCAGGCTAAGAAAAGAGCAGAGAGGTATAGCAATATCTATAATCAAAAAAGGCAGGAAGGTATAGATATAACAGTGCATCTGCACAAAAGAAATGTACATAAGATTATCTACTCTAAAAGTTTTCATAATAGCAAAATATTAGAAATATGCTAACAGACCACCAATATGGGGTTGATTACATACCTATTCACATAGAAGTAGTTGGTTTTCACACTGCCACTGTTAGCATTTGGGGCTGGAGAGATCTTTATTGTAGGATATCCTGACCATTATAGGACATTAGGTCTTTGGCCCCTACATGATAAATGCATATTGTGCCTTCAAGGTTTACGATAGTTCAGGATGCTCTCACACATTTTCCTAGGCCTCTGGGATGGGGTATTCCAATTGAAAATCATTACTGTCATGGAATTGTGTGCAACTGTAAAAAAATGAGTAAACTGTTTACAAACTAATATGGACAGACCTCTGAGATACATCTTAAGAATAAAATAGGAGGTACAGAGCAGTAAGTATACTTTGCTATGTGTTTTTTAAGGAGGAAAATAAGAATATATATTTGTATTGCTTATACATGCATTAAAAAATTCTGTACTAACTCATAAGTTAATGAACGTGATTATCTGTGGGGTTTGGTGGTGTGAGGAGAGATGAGATTTCTGGGGTGAAACATATGTACTATATACTTTTTTATGTTTTAATTTTTAAAACATATGGAGGTAGTACCTATTCAGAAAATTTAAATAAAATTTTAGATATAAATAGGCTGTTGTGTTAGATATAATAATTCCTAAAAGATGTATTTAAAGTTTATGTATTCACTTAGAAAATATTTTGGTTTTTTTTTTCCAATTCTGTCTCCTTTTCCCTTTGCTTTCACAGTGGAGTCGGGCGGAACTGGGGCTGGGCATCTGCAGGTAGCAGCATTCTCGCTGAATTTGGGACACTGCACATGGAGTTTGTCCACCTCAGTTACTTGACAGGGGACCCAGTTTACTACAAAAAGGTTAGCTTTCTTCCATTCTTTTCTTTGTTATTAAAGAATCCTTCAAGATTTACCAAAAGACTTGACTAATGCTGAAAATGGTTGCCTTGCCTTGACCAGTGTGGCTCAGTTGGTCGGGCATCAATCCGCAAAGCAAAAAGTTACTGGTTCCATTCCCGGTCAGGGCACCTGCCTGGGTTGCGTTTGCATTCCCCGGTTGGGGCATGTCCGAGAGTCAACCCGTCAGTATTTCTTTCTCACATTGATATTTCTCTCCCTTTTTCCCTCCCTTCCCCTCTCTTTAAAACTAAATAAAATCTTGAAAGGGAGGGAGGGAGAGAGTGAGGGGTTGCTTTTCCCAAAATATGTTTATCAGGACTCTGGGCTTTTCTCTTTTTAAATTATCTAAAGAAATGTCCTTTCTATTTAGAACATATTTAAAATATTTACTGTTATTTGAGAAGTTTTAACCACTAGACGGCTTTTTAAAAATTTGATTACCATCTCTGTTCAGCATTGTGCTGAAATTTGCCACCAGCATGGTAAGGGAAGAAAAACAAAAGGTACACAAAGTTCAAGAATCAAAATTTACTTGGAAAGGAAGAAAGAAAACAGTAATTAATCACAAATTGCATGATTATCTATGTAAAATATTAATATAATCTTAAGATATTAAGATTGTCTAAATATTAAGATATTAAAAATCAATAGCATTTCTCTGCATCAGCTGCAACAGGCAAGAAAGTGTCACTTTCCAAAAACATACATTATGTGGTAGGAACAAAAAGGTAAGTTTTCTACAGATAAATCTATCAAAAGATAAACAAAGTTCAAAACTGTTGAATACTATTGCAGAGGACCTTGATGGAGAGATATGTCATATTCATGTGTAGTTAAACAAGATAAAAATTTCAGTTATACCTAAATTGATTTTTAACATCAGTTCATTGCCAATGAAAACCTCAATGGCATTTTGCTTTATTTTTTTATTGTTGCTGGATTTTAAAATAATTATATGTTATCATAAAAATGAGACATTTTAAAAATAGGAGCTTTTCTTGACCACCACACATGCAAAAAAAAAAAAAAAAAAAAAGCAGGGGAGGTGCTGGAGATTCTGAGAGAGGAAAACACACAAATCTTAGTTTAATAGAAGCCATGATGACATTTATTTTTGTTAATTGCATTATTTATTTCGTTTAGGTCATGCACATTCGCAAACTACTTCAGAAAATGGATCGTCCAAATGGTCTTTATCCAAATTATTTGAATCCAAGAACAGGTCGCTGGGGTCAATGTAAGTATTTCTAGTACAACTGATGCTTTCTTAAAAGATTATTTGTGTGAAACTTCTGCTTAATGTAGTGAAAAGTATACTACATGTAGGGTGAGAAGCCCCCAGTTAGTGTCTAACCCTGTGTTTTACTAGTCCTGTTATCTTTGGCAAGTTTCTAATCTTTTTTAGCTTCAGTTTTTCTACTTGTAAAATGGAAACATTAACAACCTGTCTCATAAGAGTTATTTTATTTCTCGTATATGTAAGTACTTTATTAAAATATGGTGGAGCATTTGGCAAGGGTTGTACCTTAAGCCTGTATTTATAGAGTATACCTTCATGTAAATAAGGGATAGGTATTTATTAAAGGAATGTGAAAAACAAAAGAGTATCTTACATGACTAGAAATAGGGGTTAAGCCTATTAGATAAGCTATGGCCAGTCATTTTAAAAGAAGGTATCAGTGTCTGTTACTTTCTAGGCTCTGTGCCAAGTTCTTGGATGAAACTGAAGATGGGGGGAAATATGTAGGACTTAGTCTGTATTCAGGGAGCTCCCAGGCCAGCAGGCAGATACACTTAGGATATAATGTGTTGAATGTTAGAGCAGAGGAATGTTCCAACTGTTCTGTGAGACTGTGGTGGAAGTAATTCCTTCTGTCTGAGGAGTAAGCATTTTGTCTGGCGAGGGGTGATTTTCTTGTTAGAGCTTTAGAATTGCTCTTTGAAGGAATTGACTTTTTAAAAGTAGTATTTATGTGGAACTTACATAATTTTAATAAATTATGGGTTTATCAATAGTATTCTCTATTAAAAGTTTGGAAAACTGAAATAATAAAGTTGTGACTTTGCCTCTAGTGTAACATGTTTGGATTACTTTTGAGACAAATAATATAAAGTAGTAAAAAAGAGGTAGAAATAACAATCACCTAATTTTATGTGTGGGAATCACTGTTGAATCTGCCAGTCAGAAATTATGCAGGCACATGCTACCAAGAGTAGGAAAACATTTGCCACAGGATTGTCTTTTGGGCTCCCCTCAAGGAAATTGTCCTCTATTTTATGAAGAGAAAACAGACTGGTCAGTACAAGTATACCTTTCAAGGATCTGAGAATAAACCTCAGTCTTTTGGTTCCTCATATATACTTTTCCTTTCCTGAAATTCTTTACTTGTAATTCATCTTGTATGTCTAATTCCTAGGCTGAGTAAAATGATACTTTATTAAAAAACAGAACCAGGAGAGAAGCATTTCTAAAATATAAAAGTGTACTTTTCTTATTTTAGATAAGGATAACTGGTTTGGATGTCTACTCAGTAATTAGGACGAATTTTTTCCCCCCGTAGAGTTATGTTAAGATTTGGGAATACTCTAACATTGAGGGGGAAATTATGTTCATTTTCTTCCTTAGATCATATGCCAGTCTATGTTTTATATGGCATAACTATTTAACTGTAAAAAATGAAATCTTAAAAGGAGTTAAAAAATAGTTATAATCAGGAAAGCCTTTCCTAAACATGTCACATAAAGCAGAGATCATAAAGAAGAAGGTATCAGTTTTTACTATATTTAAATGTTAATCTTCTACAGTCTATAACAACAGGCAAATAACAAGCCAAGCAAATATATTTGGACATACTTGGAAAACAAAGTTTTTATATCCTTTCTATATTAAGAACTCTTATAAGAACATGATAAAGAGATCATCAACCCCAATAGAAAAATAGATTCAGAACAGTTCACGTAAAAACAAAACACAAATGACCAATAAACATGCTTACATTTAACTTTAAAAGTGGTGTTACTGGTGTTGAGTGCGACGTGGAGACAGTGTAATGCGATGACATTCTCTGTCCCTACTGCAGTAGGATTTAGAAGGGCTTCCATCTTTGGTACCGTGTTTGTGTCATCTCCGTTGACCAGAGGCCTCTGTTGCTCTCTTTTCCCACTTCACCATCTCCCTCATCAAATCAATGCAGCTTTTAAACAGAAGACACTATTCTTTTCTTCCCCCGGTATTATTGGCAATATTCTAAAATTTTTAATTTAAATTTTATTTTTCAATTACAGTTTACATTCAATATTATTTTAGGTATATACTGTGTACCTAAAACTAATAGTGGTTAGAAAGTCATATACTTTACAAAGCGTTTCCCCCAATGTTTCTAGTACCCACCTGGCACCAGACAGAGTGATTACAATATTGACTATAATTCCTTATGCTGTACTTTACATCCCTGTGACTACTCTTATACCTGGCAATTGTACTTCATAATCCCTTCAGCTTTTCCATTCAGTCCCCCAACACTCTTCTCTTGCAACCACCAGTGTGTTCTCTGTATTTATGTGTCTTTTAATTTTGTTTGTTCGCTTATTTTGTTCTTTAGATCCTCCATATAAGTGAAATCATATGGTATTTGTCTTTCACTGACTAATTTCACTGAGCATAATACCCTTTAGGTCCATCCATGCTGTCACAAATGGTAAGATTTCATTCTTTTTATGACCGAGTAGTATTCCATTGTATAAATGTACTACAGCTTTTCTACCCACTCAGCTATTGACTGGCACTGAGGTTGTTTCCATATCTTGGCTATTGTAAATAACACTACAGTGGACTGAAGGATGTATGCATTCTTTTGAATTGGTGTTTTGGGTTTTAGAAGACACTATTCTTTATTTATGAAGTTGTTAAAGGAAATGAACACATCCCTGTATGCCGTGGTTCAAGAAGCATAGAAATTTGTATGCCCTTTGAACCAGCAACTCATTTCTAGGCACTTATTCCAAAGAAATTGGCAGCTATATATAAAGTTTATTTATAGTACCTTTGGTGTTTTTTATAATAGGGATATATTGGAAACATTCTAAAGCAGTACTCTTTAGTAGAACTTTTTCTTTTTTTAAGAGAGAGGAGAAGGGAGGCAGAGAAACATCCATGTGAGAGAGAAACATCAGTCAGCTACCTCTCATTCGTGCCCACACCAGGGACTGAACCTGTAGCCTAGGCAAGTGCCCTGACGAGGAATCAAACCGTGACCTTACAGTCCACAGGATAAAGCTCCCCCCTAGTGAGCCACACCAGTTAAGGTAATAGAACTTTTTATAATTAGGAAAATGTTTTATATAGGTGCTAATACAGTAGCCTCTAGCCACATATGGTTATTGAGCACTGAAAATGTTGCTAGTAGTGTTGTGGAACTGATTTTAAATTTTATTTACTTTTAATTAATTTAAATTTAAATAACTACTTGTTGCCTACTGCACTGGACAATACAATTCTAAAACATCCTATTCAAGAGATTTGGTTAAATAAATAAGAGTCCCTTCAGATATGATGTATTAGGTTGGCCAAAAAGTTTGTTTTTCTGTAAAATGGCACATTTTTTCATTTTCACCAATAATTTTATTGATTTGGATATTTTGAGTATGTCAGCTATTTCTCACGTGGTATAACATTGATTGTTCTCAGTTAATGTCTCAGTTTGATCACTAGCAACTTCAACTGGTGTACACGACTGTAGCATCGTCCATTGAGAAACTCTTCAGCATAAAACTTCACAGACCACTTTTGACATGTTCTATCAGTCGCAGCGCCTTCTCTATGCACTGCACAAATCCTTTTTTTGCATTTCAGTTGCATTTTTACTTTTCTTGAAATAATAAACCACAATATGCCAAAAATTTTGCTTATTTTTTTCTATCTTCAATATTAAAATGGCTACACAAAAATTCACCAGTTTTGATAAGATTTTTTTTAATGCATGCTGCAGTGACAGCTGTCACAATACAATCTAACAAAATTGTTTCAAATGAACTTAAAAACAACTAAGCACTGCTAGAGCCATTTTACAGACAAAAACCCCAAATGAACTTTTTGGCCAACCCAATATTATTCAGTCATTAAAAGTTACTTTGTACATTACTTACGTAGATAATACGACATATGCAGAAAGATATTTAGAGAGAGAAAATAAACTACAAGAATAGAAATCAAAGAGTTGTTTTTTTTTCTGAATGTTTATTTTTTTGTTTACCTTCAGTAATGAACATCTATTGATAATGAATATCTATTACCCTTGAAATAAGATTAAAAACATTTTTAAATAAAAAAGGATGCCATCTTCTACCCCCAAATCTTAGAATACTGAAAAATATAAGCCATTGTTTGAGGATTGTCAGCCTTTGAAATAACTAACAGTATAGCATTGATTGCATCTTACTTATTAAAAATAGAGCACTTTCTCTTTAGCAAGTGGGGTTGTGAAAAATGGATAGTCACAGAATGAGAGAAAATATTTGCAAACCTCATATATAAAGGGCTTAATATCAACATATATAAATAACTTTTACAACTGAACATCAGAAGACAGATACCTAAGTAATGGGCAAAAGACTTGAGACATTTTTTCAAAGAAGATACACAAATGGAAAAACAAATGAAAAAGGTGCTCAACATCATTAGTCATTAGGTGAATGCAAATCAAAAGCACAATGAGATGCCACTTCAGATGTACTAGGATAACTATTCAAAAATACAGAAAAGTCTTAAGGATGTGGAGAATTTGGAAATCTCTACATTGCTGGTGGGAATATAAAATGGTGTAACCACAGTGAAAACAGTTTGATGCTTCCTCAAAAAGTTAAACGTTGAATTTTATATGACTCAGCAATTCACCTCCTACGTATGTGCCCAGAAGATTTGAAAACAGGGACTCAAATAGATCTTTGTACGCTAATGTTCACAGCAACATTATTTACAATATCCAAAAGGTAGAATCAAAGTGTCCAACAGATGCATAGATAAACAAAACTGGTATATATCCGTGTAATGGGATATTATTCAGCATAAAAAGGAATGAAGTTCCAGTATGTGCTACAACATAGATGAACCTTGAAAACATTATGATAAATGGAAAAAACCAATCATAAAAAGGACAAACAATGTATAATTTTACTTAATGAAATATCTAAAGTAGTCAAATTCATAGAGACAGAAAGTGGATTAAGGGTACCTGGGGC